TTAACACTTTGTGCACATTTTATGAATACATAGTTGCAAATTTGGAAGTTTACCAAAGCAACGTATTGGATGTCTTATATTATATTATTTGTAGAATAGGATTGTAAATTAAGTAGTGTCAAACTTGTACAAAAATTTCTCCATAATTTAGCCACAAGATTTTAGTTTTTAAAAACTGGTCATATTTTAATATTACTATATTTAAAACTAAAATCTTTTTTGCTCAAAATGTTGAGGTGAATTTTAATTTGTTTTTGATTCTAATATAGTGCTTTATTATTAACCTAGAATTGTATGGTAGATTTTAAAATGTATGTATATTATAAATTCGTGGAGCGAAATTCACAAAGAATTATCTTATAAATTGAGTATTTCAGTTTAATAGATTTAAATAGAATGTAAATATTATATTTTATACATTAGACCCGAAATTTCAAATTTCATTATTTTTTAAAATAAAGATAGTAAGTATGAAATTGTGTGTTATTTGTATGTCTTTTTTTTCAATAATGCAGGGGTTTTTTTGGCGGAAAATGGTGGAATAGCTCGTGGCAAGCATTTACATTTTTCAGAAGCACATAACGTTGAAGAATGAGGGGGGGGGGGGGGGTATTGCATTTCATGCTTTAGGACCCTCATGCCTTTTGTAACTCAACCCCGCTCGACACTAAAGCTTTTACTGTTACATCACCCCTGTTTTAAACGGTGAAGAATGAGGTCTAGTTGCAGAAAAAATTCCAGTCAAATAATATCTGTCTTATGCAAAACTTCTGTGATGACTATAAGACGTGGTATCGGCTGTTAATGAAAAGCCTTAAGTTACATAATGTGCAACTGGTGTTCTAGGGCATGCGACCGATTGGGGCCATGGCTGATTGGGCTCTATTTCAGCAAGAGCATATTTTAACAAGTCCACAAAAATGAGAATATAGTAAAGTGATTGTGCCCCCTCCCCCTTAGTTAAACATTTCCCTCATAGCACACTGTATGGCGTATGCCCGTCTTCATTAGCCCAGGTTAGGAGCAGAACAGTAGGACGTTAAACCCCATTTCATTTCATTTTCATTCTCCATGGCTGGTTCCCCCTTTTCAGTGATGCAGGACGGAGGGCCTGACAAGTACAGCTGTCTAGTCATTCGGATGGGACGACAAACCGAGGCCCCGTGTACACAGTGGCGTGCACGTAAAAGATCCCTTGACAGTTGGAATTCGATATAAGAGTAGCCTAGTGCCGCTGTCCTGGCAAAATTTCCGTCATAGCACACTGTATGTTGCATGCCCGTCTTCATTAACCCCGTTCTGAGCAGAACAGTAGGACGTTAAACCCCATTTCGTTTCATTTCATTCTCCATAGCATTTCGGGGTATATCAAAACTGGTTGGATATAAGTTTCAGCAATGTTTAAAAGTCACTTCGAGATTAACACACTGTAATTTTCATTTTGTTTGATTAATTGTTTGCAATGAGAGGGAGAAAGTTAACGCGAGCAGCAATGCTATACCCTTTCTAGAACTGGAACTGCCAAGGCATCAATTACGTGTGCTGCAAATATGTACACGTAACCCTGGGTTTCTGTAACGCCCGAACGTTTAGGCCACTTTCTTGTCGGCCTCACATGCCTTGTAGTTCGGATACGTATGAATAAGGCTTCAAAATGATAGATGTAATTATACAACATCCAGATAATAGCCTACCTACTAATTGCAGTGCAGAGGTAACAAAACACAAAAAAATCCCCTAAGAGATTTGACAATTTTGATTTGAAATCAATTTTATCCCATCCATGCTTTGGCTGAACATTTATTTCGATACCGAAAATTAATTAATTTAATGTAGATAGCCAATAATTATAGTGTAGTGTACTGAGCGTGCCTGTCTTCATTATCCCAGTTAGAACAGAAAAGTATGACGTTAAACCTCATTTCATTTTAGTAACACGTTAAACCCCATTTCATTTCATTTTATAGCGTATTATGCCCGTCAGATTGTCCCTTTAAGATCAGCGCCTGCATTATACTTTACCAAAAACCGTGACAGCAACATACATTTCTAAACAAATCTCTAGAACGCGCACGTATTTGACAAGTGTCACGAGATTCGCCTCAGAAATCAAGCCAGTCGAGACAATTGTTTTTCTTTTAATTTCTAAAAATATAAACATAAAAGGTTCAGTCTACTTCATAATATATCCATTGAAAATCATGCGTTAAAGTGGTGGGCCAAATATACATTTGCAACCTTGTCTCAAATTCCCATTTAATATACACTAAAGCAAATAGTATCGTCTCAAAATGGTTACATTAAGACAAGCGGGCAGAAACCTTTTCTCGAAAAGTGGCGATTGCCCCTATTCCTTTTCGAAATTCAACTGTCAAATGACCGATTAAATTATCTACTTATTTGTATGAATAAGTGAATGGAATGGGAATTAACACCCAGTGCATCCCCACTCCCTAAATAACATTATGAAAATTCACTTTTTGTTTGTTTGGGTGGGGATCAGCGGTGGCTCAGTGGAGTTTGACGTTGGCTCACTAACCCGGAGGTCATGTATTCGATCATTATGTTGGCCGAGAAAGTTCTTTTGGATTTTCCGGCGAGGTTCCACCTTGGCAGTGGTGCTACGAACAACTGTTATGTCGAATTTGACCCACCCGAACGATTATGCACTGTCTCTTGCCAGACTCTCCTTCCTGCACCACTGATAAGTGGGAACCACGTCGAAATAACAGATGAATTTTTTCGGCCAGCACGGGACCTCCGGGTCGGTTAGCGAGCTAACTACGATTTACTCACCGAGCCCCCGTTTTCAACATATGGGGAGCAACGGTGGCTAGGTGGTTAAAACGCTGGCTCGCTAGCCTGTAGGTCTGGTGTTCGATCCCTGCATTCGCCGAGAATGTTATTCAGATTTCCCGACGTGGTTTCCCGTTGTCAGTGGTGCAGGACGGAGGGCCTGACAAGGACAGCTGTCTAGTCCCTCGATGAGCAAAAAACCGAGGTCCCGTGTATACATTTTAATGCAGGTAAAAGATCCCTTGGCAGTTGGAATTCGATATAAGAGTAGACGATAGTGCCGCCGCCCGGGCAAAATTTCCCTCACAGCACACTGTATGGCGTATGACCGTCTTCATTAGCCCAGGGCCTTTATTCACGAAAACTTAAACTAAGATACAATAGAAATTTTAAGAAATACTGCAATTCGATTGGCTGACCAGTGAAATCAATTTGCATATATCCAATTTGCATATTGGTCAGCCAATCGAATTGCAGTATTTCTTAAAATTTCGATTGTATCTTAGTTTAAGTTTTCGTGAATAAGGGCCCTGTATAGGAGCAGAACAGTAGGACGTTAAACCCCATTTCATTTCATTTCATTTTCAACATATGTCTGTTGTGGAACAGACATATCTACAAAAGCTGATGCAGAAGGTGGGGGGTTGGATGGCTTAATGGTTAGCACGTGCGCGCTGTATCATAAAGTCTGTAATTGAGTCAACTGGCGTGGTGTCACCTGTCCAACCTCGTGGGTTTTCCCCGGGTCGACCCTACTCCTTGTCACGTACAACCGGGGAATCGAAACCACGCCAGTTGACTCAATGACAGACTTTATGATACAGCGCGCACACGCTAACCATTCAGCCAGCCACCCAACCCCCGTATTTGAAGCCAAAATAAAACCTGCAATAAGCCATAGGAAGATTTAGCTTGAACAACTAATCTTTAGCTAACTTAATACCAGTGGACTATTAAATGCACATTTGTTAACCATGGAGATATTATGTTGCCAGACAACGAAACATACGCACACAGCAGCTAAGTCGTCCGGACAGTCAACAATTGTTGTCATATATTTTTTCTTTTGTAAGTAATGGAAATATTTACAATAAACTGAAATCTGATTAAGAGTAACAACCTCTACAGCATCCACAAGATTTTTCGTTGAAAAGCAATAGGCTTCCTCGTCTCATGACCTAAAACACTGTGTATAAATTTAAAGCCAATTGGATATTAACTTTAGCCTCTAGAGAGTCCGCCGGACAGGGGCGACGGCAATATACGACCACATTTAATGTGGGCGTATAAAAATGGATGGGGTTGATATCTTATTTAATTCAAACAAAATAAAAATTACAAAATACAAATCCGTATTACTTTGATTTGATAGTAATCAAAGTTGATATGTTGCTGTCCGTGGACAGAACAGCGAGTCTAACACCGTCACCATCATCTGGACCGGCATGGAAACTGATAACTTGACCCCCGAACGTTCCTGTTACGGGTACCTGAAGCTTCCAAAGGGTTGTTGTTGTTGACATTGCCCCATTTGCCACTTGCATACCCGTTATCCAATTCTGTCTTACTTTGGTTCCATTTTGTACACCAAAGATAAGAATTGTGCCATTTGTATTTTGTCCAACCATAATATTGGTTGTCATGGAAACATTCTGCCCGAAATATTTTGACAAGGCGATTTTATAAGCTATTGTACCGTTTTGCAAATTCATGCCAATGATTTCCTCCGATTCCGAGAAGGGTGATGTCCAAAGTAAACCAGGTCTAACAGTGTAATGTTGTCTATTCTTGGGCTGGTTGGCAACGTATAGAGAAAGTGTTGAAACTAGTAAGGGCATTGAGTACATCAATTCTGAACTGTTTCCATTGTCTTTAATTGACCAAAACATATCACTTTGGTCGCGTGAAGAACACGTGACAAATGATGACGGATCCGTTGCCATGCTGACAAGAATGTTATTTCCAGTAACAACTAGTGAAGCGTTACGTCCAATTTCATTGCTGTGCACTCTGTGGTCATCTGGTTGACATAACTCAGTAGAAAATGTAAATTCCCATGCCACAAACATTATGTTGGTCATTCGTCTAACTACACCTATAGCAAACATTCTGTAATATCCAGTAGTTGAAAACTAAACCAAACAAAAATAAACGAACAAAGTTTTCATTTTGAATTTTCAAAAGTAAAATTGGAAGCAATGGCATGGGGTTTATTTTTTTATTCACAAGGACAGATATTATTACGTTTGTGAGGTTGAGAAAGGAATGAATCGGTCGTTTTAAGAATTATATATGGTAGCCTATTTAAAGCCGTTGATCGTCATTTGAATTTGTTGGGCGATATCTAATTTCTCCCGACTTGATCCATGCTAAATTGATTATTAAAATTTAATTATGAAAACAAAATCAAAATATCAACGGTAGATAATCTCACGGCTTGGATTTAATCGGAATAAAAAGAGGCCCATCAAAAGATTTTATCCAACACTTATAGGTGCCGCTGGTTCGTTTACATCGTCAAGTGGGGATGCAGCATGTTGCGAAATTTTCAATTCATCGTATCTGTCTAATGGAATGGAATTCAACCATTTGAGACGTATATTCCTTTTAGAGACACAATTTTCACAATGTTTTTGATTGGAAGGGATTCTAAATTCCTAAAATTCCCAATTCATCATTTTTGTACATGTATATTCTAAACGGGTCGCTTTAGAGGTGATATTCCTTTTAGAGATTCAATTTTATAGTGTGCAAGGAATTCAAAATTCCCCAAATGACGATCATCGGCTTTGAAATGTTTGTTTTCGTGTGCCATGGAAGGAAGTGGAATTTTGTCTAGGCAGTGGCAATTTCTTCCGAAATGAAACTGTCCACGAATCTTTTACATCCGATACCAACCGCGGTTTTCATGCTGTCACAGGTTATACAATCATGTATCGTTGTTAATTTTTAAAGCAAATATCCCCCCATCAACAGTTCTAGCTAACATGTATTCCTTATTATTCGTAGTTGTGGCAGAAATTATTTGTCCCACGATTTCTCTATTACCAGGAGAATTTATCTTAGATAAAATTTGGGTAGTATTTAACTTGGGGTCGTACTCCATCGACGCAAAATAAAAAGTTTGTGCACCGTTCGCTTTACTTTCTATGCCAAAATTGAAACAATATTTTGTTTTAACGAAGGTGACCATTAATTGAGAGGTGATGTTGATATCTTCGCCAAAACTTGCTGATAAATTTGTCTTCGCCATAACCTGACCGGTCATAAAGTCCACACCTTCCAATATATTCCCATTAAATTTACCAATGGACCAAATTAAAATACTATCTATATGTGTACGTTTATGTCCCTGTTTAAATTGGTTTCGAACGGATGCTAAATATGAGAGAGGTTTATTTTCTGAAAATAAAACTGTGCCCTGATTATGCAAATCTTTAATAGCGATCATTTTGGAGGTGCTCGAGTCGTCGTTTGTGTCGCCAGTAATTTGTGTGGCTGACAGACTGAGATAAACAATATGGTTCTGCACTAAAAGTGATGGGAGCCAGCTCTGGTTATTTCCTGATCCTAGTTTGTTATCGCTGTAATGTGACGACAGATTGGATATGAAAAAATAACCAGTTTTGACTTTGTTAATATTATTTTCAACAAACAATTTGTAGCGTTTTCGCGGGGTTATCTTTGGGTGAAATTTGAGAAGCAGATTTGTATGGTTGTGAACGAGCTTCAAAGCATTTGGTGAAAGAGGTGGGTGTGAATTCGCATTGGATTGTGGTTGATGAAGTAATGATGATTGATCTTGTAATTCCATAAACCATACAACTGCTATTCTGTCTGTTACAGACTTATTCACATCTATAGCAATAAGCCGACTGGCAAACTGAAATGCAGGAAAGGACAAGCGTTTAATTAGCAAAGAGGTTGCAGGTGGAAGGTTTTACGATCGGTTTTAATAAATATAAACCATTTAGCACAAAATAGTTGCAACTCCAAAAGGGCAGTGTTGTACCCCCCCCCCCCCCACACACACACACACACTCAGATACGCTAAACTGACCAACTGATGTTTTCCGCACACCATTAGTCTGTAAACTGAACTTTTAGTCTTTTTAGACAATGCGAAAGATTAGACATAATTACTTGGGCGACTCCGAAAAGTTATTACTCACGGTGTTATATTTCAGCCACTTACCGCGTCAACTATTATATACCGTTCAAACGGGTGATGCAGGACGAAGGGTCTAACAAGGACAGCTGCCTAGTCGTTCGGATGGGATGGAAAATCGAGGTCCCGTGTACACATTGGCGTGCACGTAAAAAAAACCTTGACAGTTGGAATTCGATATAAGAGTAGGCCGTAGTGTCGCTGTCCGGGCAAAATTTCCCTCATAGCACACTGTATGGCGTATGCCCGTCTTCATTAGCCCAGTTCGGAGCAGAACAGTAGGACGTTAAACCCCATTTCATTTCATTTCATTTCAATTGTTCACTCATACTCCCATACATTCACACTTCTCTTTAAATTATTGTTTATCTATAGCTCAGGTTAAGTGATTTCCCATTCATAGTGTTAATACATTGATCTTTATAAATAATAGATTTCCCCCTCTCTTTAATCCCTGTAAGAGTTTCTGTTGTGTTGGTTTAGTTGTAAATGGCCCCTAATCAAAGGCGTTAAGTTTGTTGCATATCATGTATATATTTGCCTACTATTCACATACCGGTATCATTTGCTTGAAAAAGACGAGTGTATCTTTACACTCAGTAATTGTGCATCCATAAAATTGTACCCTGTGTATATATGTTCAATTACTAAATGCCAATCAAAGAAGATACTCCTGATAAAATGACGGATAACAGTAACTTTTCGAATCGAGGGTTGAGGTTGACACACTAATCGGGAGTTCAGTCTACTATGTGTGTATTAGCCCTCTAATTTAGAGGGCATTAATTTATAATAGTACAACCTTGAAAACTCACCTTCTTTGAAACATTCTGTGCTTTCGGTTTAAATTCTGTTAAAATGTAGGCCCTATTCCCGGAAATAACGGGTTGTGCCATTGGATGAAATATTCCATCATGTCCGTCCACTTCACCAGTCAAAATTAAAGATGCTAAAGGTACTCCATCTAAAATACATGTAGTTTGCAATGTATCGTCAAACATATTTTAACAGACACGCCGAAGAAATGACTTAATAAGTCAAAATACTCTTGCTTGGGGGTATTTAACTCCCAAATTTAAATACCAATTAATTCAATTAACTTAAACATTGTGTGCCCCCTTCCATGCCGCTGCCATTTGGGATTAAAATCTGGGGCTTATTAGATAATTAAATATATGTTAAAATCATGCTAAATAGTGAAAATTGAATAAATATTGCATGATTGAAAGTATATGTAGCCAAGTCTTTAACTCAGTATTATCAACTGTCTTCGACATTGTAAACACGACTTATTGGTCTGTTCAAATCAACATTGATGTTGTTATCTTACCGTGAAAAGATGGGCTTCTGGTAACCAATATTTAAGATACAATGAAAATTTTAAACAGGGCACACGAATCGCATGCCGGGGTGCTTGCGAGCGCCATTTGTAATGAGCGAGGGGGGGGGGGGGGTGAATGGCTGAATGGTTAGCACGCGCGCGCTGTATCATAAAGTCTGTCATTGAGTCAACTAGCGTGGTTTCGAATCCCCGGTTGTACGTGACAAGGAGTAGGGTCGCCTGTCCAACCTCGTGGGTTTTCTCCGGGTCCTCCAATCTCGAACGACCGAATGGGAGGATGAACAAATGAATGAACTGGGGTTTAAAGTCCTACTTTTCTACTCCATACCCGGGATAATGAAGACCGAACAAAAACCTAAACGAAAAAGGTATCATGGCTAAAAACAGAACAGAATATCAATGTTTCTTTTAAAGCACGTGTACTTAAAGAACCTGCAGATACAGTGGGACATTAAATGGAACTATTATAAATGGCCTTGAAGTGTAATCAGATACTGATGACGAGTTGATCTCCATTGACCCCCCTATGTTAGTCTATGTTGTAAATAGTTCACACTCAAATTATATGGAACAACTTAATGACAGATCGTAAATTAACCAGCCATCACCATATTTATAGCAAATTGTATTATGGTCAAGCGAAATCTTCGTATTACACATTCACTCATCATGTTTTTAACAGAAAGTTAATGGTGCTGTTTATATTGTATTTGGTGCAGTACACACAGTAGAGTGTATTTAATGATTGAAACTGAATGCTTATTACAACATTGTGGATGTTATTACGAGTAATATCTTATTGAAAGAAACATTCTAGAACATACCGTCCATACTTTTCTAGACTGAAATCTTTCGATAGGCCTCTTCATTGAATCAAAGCCGGGAGGTTATCTACCATTGATATTTTTATTTAAAACAAATGTTTAAAAGATGGATTATGTAAGATTTAGATAAAGAGCTATAATATTTCAAAAATAGATAATGCAAAATGAATATATTGAAAATCTCATTAAAATTACTTTATTTTGAGAGAAGTTATCAATGGTTGTAGTTTTAACAAAATGTGTGCATTGATCGTAACCATCGCACTGGGCATTCGAGTTTTAGCCTAGCTTCTCCATTTTTAAATTAAATCATTAAATGGCCAAACTGTTCTAATCTACTTAAAACCGGACCCATCCGATGGCATAGGGGGTTGAATATAGTATTGTTATGTTAATAAATGTCTAATTAGTACTTTATAACATTTAAGGCCCAACGAAAGACCTGCAATAAGCAGATTTAGCACTTACATAATGCATGTTTAAATAATTGAGCACATTTCAGGGTTCCCGCGGCTTCGTCAAACATTTTTTCAAGGATATTCAAGGATAAATATACGTCAAATTCAAGGATTTTCAAGGACATTTTTTAGCCTAAAGTTACAATTTTTCACCTTAAAAATAACCAAAACATTACCAACTATCGTTATAATCTCATATTTAAAAGGAATTGAAGACATTTGAAACAAAATTAAGGATCTCAACTGAAATTCAAGGATATTTTCCTATTTCCGCGAAATTCAAGGATATTTTCCTATTTCCGCGAAATTCAAGGATATTCAAGACCTTGAAAATGAAATTTTAAATTTAAGGATATTCAAGGATTTTCAAGGACCGCGGGAACCCTGATTGTAGCTTGGATTAAGTCTTTGTAAATTTGACGACCAGAGACTTTACTATTAGGCACACTTTTCAAATGAAAATTTAATTGGTAAACTTATCCCTATGGAAATAATTCTTAAATTCAAAATCGTAGGCCTACCATCATGAAAATCAAATTTTGTCTGCTCAAAATTTGCAGAGACAAACAATCAAATAAGATCAATTATTCCTAATAATACATGAGTGCAACACAAATTTGGGATACATTATGTGAACTACTGACAAGAGAAGTGGTATCAGGTCTTCTATAAATAGCCCCGTTGACAGCCGGGGGCAAGGGGGTGCCCCCCCCCCCCCAAAAAAAAATACCTACTGTTTGTAATAGACAGCAGTCAGTGATCGTCATGTGGAGTATTGATTTGGGGACGTGGCACCTTGCACTCAGTCTCATATTAGCCTATTGGTTATGTTCTGACATCTATCTGTCATATATTTTGTACTGACTTGCCCAATGTCCCACTGTCGTGGGGTCCCTGTCTTGTCACTATGTTCATTGTTCAGAGTTTGCTAGCGAACGATTTTCTGGGCTGGAAAACGCGTTTGCGGCCGTTCCATTTTCAATTTTCCGGGGGAGGAGCAGTGACGGATCATGGGAAGGGCAACAGAGGCAAATGCCTTGGCCCGGGCTCCGAAGGGGCCCGGTGATTTGGTGACAAAAAAAAAAATATTTTCTTTATATTTGTTAGAAAAAAATTATGAACACCCATTTCCCAAAAATCGTAAACATGGTGGCCTTTTTTCGATGAGTTTTGAAATTATTAGGTAGTTGATATCAGAAATAATACTATAACCCGAAACCCGAAATATTATTTCTGGTTGACAGGTAGCAGTCTTGTTAATTCTCACTATTTCCGTCGGGCCACCGTTTCTCACCCAACCAGCTCGCTTAACAAGAATTGCAAACCGATATCATCGGGCCCGGATTGGCAGTGAGACCCCCTTCCCACTGGCCCCCTCTCTGCGATAGTTTTTTCTGCTTAGAACTAAGTATACGACTTCCCGCCCGGGCTATACTCCACAGACCACCACTAAAAAGTTCACTCCCCCCCCCCCCGCAGCCAACAGGCTGGCTACGGGCCTGTCTATAAAGAGTAAGGATACTCCACCCCGTGCACGACACATGTAACCTCTTACAATAGATAACTGGGGGGAGTACATAGGCACCCCACCACCTCACTCTAAACACTAAAGAGCGAAAGAAAGGATATCTTTAAATCATAGCTAATTTTATGGCGTAAATACAAATTCGGTAATGTTCATTTAACACGGAGCTAAAAGAAAAATACACCATAATAATGCCACCAATACAATTATTGACTAACATGTCATCACAGTTAATGAAAGTTTATTTCAATTATCTACATCTTGTTTAAATTTAAATAGTGACGTATTTATGACGACACTTTTTCCACAGATCTGGTTTTGATATCAAAAGAATCAACAATTCGCTATAAATGGAACTCGACACCGAGGACTTCTAAACATCTTCCTCATCTCGTCCAATAATTGTTAACGTATACTGTCAAATGTCACATTCTGATTCAATTCTTAAACATTCATTATTAGACGTTTAGCTCGGTGCCATTTCAAGTGCAGGTGCGTGGACAATATTCTGAAAATTCTGACATGAGTACAAGTCACAAAAATTATCAAACTTAATTTTGAAAACAACGTCACCTCTGTCCATTACTATACATGGCGATTCTTATAAAGTCCAAGAAAACATCTCTAATGTATAAAGCATCGATTTTTTTTGAAAATTTCTGTTGTGAAATATATATTTTAATAAGACCCAATATCACAGATAAAAGGCTAAATATAAAGTTTAAAACCATACATAAATAATAGTACTTTTGTCTAAAAATGGTCCAAATAATCAAACCAATCTTAACTTGGATTATGTTTCACATTGTCATCTTTACGTGTCTTCGGTAAATATTGTAGTAATACGTCTGCTATGTTTTTCATACAAGCAAGTCCATTCTTTATTAAGAAAAATATACTGGAGCATGCTTAATTACGTAATGCATTAAACTAGCACATGTACCATCGTATCTGCCTTTTGAGATGCAGGTATATGTTCTGCCTTTTAAGTTTAAGAAATCAACGCCAAACTGGTAAAAATATGCTCTTTGCTTACATTATAACGTAAGCAGTATTATACTGCACGCCCACACCCCTTAAAAACTAGAGTTTGGGACAAAAAGTTATACAAAAACTACTTACTAATAAGGTAAGCGATTACCTCGCCATTCTTAGATACAATGAGGAAGGCTCCAATATCTAACAAATTTAAACTGAAAAAATATATAGACAAAAATATGAACCTCGGATTCCCATCCGAACGACTAGACGAAGTTGCTTGTCAGGGGAAACCGGGATGGATAATCTCCGGGGACTATATCTCGGCCAATACCGGGACCGAACCCCGGTCCTCCTGGCCAGCGCCCTACTCACTGAGCCACCACGGCTCTCTAAAAGAATAACAAAAGATGAAAGTATCCAACTTAGAGGATTATCTTCAACAAATAATCAACCCCTCATATGAAGGTTGGAATAAAGTAGAAATGCCACACCCAAACACTGAACAAGTGACCCTAGTTTCATTGCATTCTCAACGTCAACTCTTTTCATATATTTTAGGTGTCGAAGCCCTGTCCTGGCTGTCCACGAAAATAGACGATTTCATTTATCAAGTAGCCCACTAAATCCTGTTATATCTTTTTTAAAAAAAGTATTTAGTGGGCTACTAATTTGTAAAAAATAAAATTAACGTAATTGATTTTGAATAACACGCGAATACAAAATACGGATGCAGGCGGTTTTGTAACCTGGCTGTTTCGTATTTAGTTCATTCGTACCTCAAATTGATTCGTACCTTTTCCTGTGTTGTTGAAATCAGTTGAAAGAAACTGAATATGCCGAACCTGAATTAGAATATGCACGAGATTTGTACCTTAAATTGATTAGACCACTAGTGGTGTTTTTGTCGAATTTCAAAGAGCAACAGATCCTTTACACGGGACATCGGTTTTTCGTTCCACCCGAATTTGACATACACGACGTTTAATGTTTACAAATCACGTAGAACCCAAAATTACTTTTTTGAAAAAGCCAATACCTTCAAAGCTCTGATGCATATTTATATGCTCATTTTCTATTATTTATAACTTATTATTTTTACCTGTAAATAGAATCAACGGGTACATTGAGTTTAATGACAGGCTGGGTGGTTCCATCGCCGTCAATCATTACTAAGGACCGCCCATCGCTTCCAATAATATCACCATTGACGTCCATGATTGGTAGGGAGGGCTTTACAAGAATATCTCTTCGCCATAGCTCTTTGCCAGTTTTCGGATCCAAACTGACATAACCCCTAAGTAGGAAGCAAAAAACCTGAACATTATGCAATTTTATCGTAAGTTTAAAGTTCATAATATATTAATCAGGCCACATCTTGAAACCACAAAATTTGTATGTAACTGATGTTTTGTTTTAAATGAAACGATCATCTTACTTGCTAGTTGGACAAACTATATTGTTTTCATTACTAACACAGCCAAGTTGAACATTTGCTGCGGTGGTTGAATTCTCTAGCTGAGCTGTCCATGCTACTTCTACATCAGCCGATGTAATTACTGAATCCAGTGAAAAAGTTCCACCAGGTGAGCACCCGTATAAAGGGCATCCCGATATTACCTGCCCTTTAGTTGCACTAAATGCACATAATAATAATGTGACAAGGTAGAACATTGTCGAGCTGTTTAAATGCTCATTGAAAGCATATAATATCCCAATCTTATCTAACAGTCAGCTACTCTTGTGACACTTAATACTAATCACGTGCCATTGTTGATAAACATAGGCGAGTGTAATTTCCGTTATATAAAACCATTAAAGGGAAACAACTCCAAAATTAACATTCTGGGTTTCCAAGTCAACGATATAATGCTACAATTTTTTTGTCTTAAAATAATGTAAATTTCACTTTAATTTAGGGGTTTGTCAACAAAAAACAACCATTAAATATAATTCAAATTTAACTCTTTATTTTTGAAACAAAATAAATGATAATAATCATAGTTCCATAACTTTGGAATTGATATAGAGTAATCACTACGAAAATCTCCTGCTTTGTGTTCGATAACAATGGCCGTTGCCTGTAAGGCTAATTGGGTTTACCAGTCAGGATGAAACTAGATTGATCAGGTTTTGCACCAGGATGGCATTAGCTTTCTTCTACCTGATCTAAACTTGAGCTCTTTTGGCATGCATTGTTTGTACTTTGAAGAGCAGTTTGTACTAAGTTTGCAAACTATGAAGTATGGAAAGGTAAATGGTTAGGCTCAGCAAGCCATCTTGCAGCCTAAGTTAAAGTGGCAGACATAGTACTAATTGTTCAAGTATTGTAAAAATAACACTTCTCATGATCACCGTTTTGCTTTAAATCATTGGATGATTAAATCATGTGACAAATTATGAATGAAAAGGAACTCATAATTACACCAGAATAATTACAAAATATATAAAATATTCTTTATAACAAAAACAAAAAGAAATATTGATGACTAGGTGACATAAATACAGAAAATATAAACTACTGTGACGTTAATTTAGTTAAGCTTAAAATGGCAGGTGGAGTGGGTTTATGTGGCTACTCAAGAGCGAGAGCGAGAAATAGGATTTAACGTCCACTCCACACAAACTAGGTCATTTTGGGTACAACACACAGTTCAATTTTGTTTCAGTAATTTTGCTTGTGCATAGGGGTCTTTAGCAGTAGGAGGATCTGGAGAAAACCCATGAGGTAGGACAGGCAACCCTACTCCTCGTCGCTTACAACAGGGAATCTCAAGAGCAAGAAATTGATGAATACAGGTAATAGTTTGAGAAGTACTGACTCTACATCAATATGTATTTCTGTCATCCCCTCCTCTCCAAAATACATCAGCTGATATTTCTGACATTCAGAATTGAAGATACAAATATAGAGAGGTCCCTTCCCTTTTAATTGAATACAAAACTTTTAAATCCAAACAGTCGTATCATTGATTATGTACATAAGATGCATTCCTTGTATTTTAAAGATGCATTTTGCAAGAGTTAAACTTAATATTGCAGGTCTTTATTTTGGCATCAAATGTGATATAAACATGTATTCAATGCTCTAGACTATTGGAGGACTGAGATTTAAATGAATTAGAACACATGCGAGGTTTAAAAATTTAACGATAAAGTGGATAATTAAGACTTAGTTTCAATTGTCAAGTACTATTGCTACCATAATAAACAATCTATACTATACTAAAACTTCAAACACTTATAACTTTACTCAGAATAAATTCATTTGAATGACATTTTCAATATATTCATTTTTCATTATCTGTTTTTGAACTATTATAGAAAGAATGTCCAGCTTTTTATCTAATTCTTACATAATGCATCTTTAAGTATAATCTTTAGTTATAGACTATCAGTCTTGAATTGGCATTATGACTTTCAAACAAAACCAAGATTAACAAATATAAATCTGTTTTTAAAAAAAATAACATCAATTTCAACTAAAATATATCTACACATTATAAAAACATTAACACAATTTTTCAATAGTAATCTCATACTTCATACTCATTGGCATCACAGGACATAACTGTGCGCTGCAGTAGATATAATATCTAATTATGGAATGATCAAATGTCATATTTAATAGGAGATTGAACATTTTTTAAACACTGGGTTCAGCCTGACTATTTACTATTAATAGTGCACAATATAATCTTTGAATAATTCTAAGTTTTTTCATATACTGACAGTTGGCGCAATTAAAATATTTAATCCTGGAAAGGACTTTTTCCTCTCGTTTCATAGCACTATAGAAAGCTATAAAATGAATATAATTCTATGTACAAGAATGAAATCAGATGTAAAACTTTTCTGTCATCACATCTTGCAATTCTCTCACAAGCACAAAGTTGTATATAAGAAATGAAGTACAAGAAAGGAAGTTACTTCCCCTTCGTCATAATTCAATGAGCACACATTTACTCAGGATTTGCATCTTTCTTGTTTACTGCACCTTTGATTGAATCTGAATATCAACATTTAATAATAATAATATCAACATTTATAAAGCGTGTTAATACTGAAGAACAGTTTCTAAGGTGACTGATAACAAATAACATAAAACGTAGTCATTACAATAATCAGGCACCTGAAAAATGAATTGATGGACAATAATTATCCTAAGATGATTATTTGGTAAATAACATACAAAATATTTTCTTTCTGGACATGTATATTTTACTGGCACAAAATAAATGTTATCATCACAGAATATTAATTTTTGCCTTTTGGCTTCATTTGCATAAAATCTGGCACAACATTTTCATTCATACACAAATCATTAAAGCTCACATTAATATTTCAAAACTGAACACAAAAATAATAGTTTTAAATCAAAAAATATACAGTTATCTTTGGTACATAAAGTCATGGCACTAATATTACAGGTTAAACATTATGCTTGAGTAGCATGACCACATTTGGATCAGTAAATGATATATAAGAGTTTATTCCTTCCAATGTTCCCAATGGATAGATGAAGGAACATCACACAAACAAATTTTTTTTAAAATGTAATTTTCATAGAAATCGTCTTTAATCCATCTCTATCCCTATGATGCAGTGTTGATTCTACACTTAAGCCTTTTATTAGAATCCATATTTAATGACATGTATTTCTTTTGAGCTTGAATACTAAACTTTATGTTGTAGACCTAAGTCTAGTACTCTCCCACAATTTTAATTGAAGGTGAATAGGTACCAAAAACAATTGTCAACTTAAATTATTTGATAGACTACAATAAGTTTAAGGGATGGATATTGAAGTGGGTATTGTCTGTCCCAGTTCTGCTGGAAACAAATTCGACTTATTTAAAAACACAGAATGCTGCTGATGTTTGACTATTTGTGTGAGCACTTATGTAAAGCCTCCTAATCACTCTAGTCTCCTTTTATAAAAAGAACTGGCCTGGAGCTTGGTATATCTATATTAATGAACACCTTTAAGATTTAAGACTAGTAGGTTTATCTGATGTATCTCAAATCATCAGTCTATCAGTCTGAATATTTAACTGCTTAATGAGACTGCCTGTATGTCTCAATATATGTGTTTCTGTTAGTGTTGTTAGAGTAGGGCTGGAAGCGAGTACTGGAAATGTTATAGCTACAGAAACTATACCTCTGTTGCAGGTTATCTTGAGGATATTCCTGCCACTGGAATTTCTGCTGGAATTGTTGTTGATGTTGACTAAAATATTGTTTTTGAAAATATGCATTTTGCTGATAATTATTTTGAGCATTGTGTAAATTTGGATTAATATTTTCATCTGGACAAACAGGTCCCTGTGGAAACATGAAATCTTGATCATTATCGCTAAATAAATAATCGTTTGTGAAATCTTCAAGGTCATTAGTATAAGGCATCGGATAACATATATTTTTGTTTCTATTCCTTTTCCTTTTCTTTTTGCCAGAAATTTGTTTCTGCGCGACGACATTTTGTTTAGGCAGTGTCTGACTTGTAATAGGATTTTGGTTGCGATTCTGATTTGCAGAAACGACAGATTTCTGTGGTTCAGGTTCTGTCTTTTTACCAAAATCTGATCCCCAAGCTTCTGATATTTGATAAAGAATAAGATTTGTCATGCGTCTGTGAGCTGTCATATCCCAATGGACGCCATCTTCTGCCCTTCTGTGTAAATGATGTCTAAGGAAGAAATGAAGATCAAGGTAGTCGAAACCATAGTATGAAACTATATGATGAGCAATCAGATTACAGGCCAATATTTTTACCCCAAGTTGGTTTTTAGCCGTCTCTACTTCTGGGACAAAAACTCCACCCCTAGCTTCTTTATCAACCGGCATAGTAGAATTCCAGATGACCAATGTATCATTGGGCAAAACTTCCTTCAGCTTTTTACACAATAAATGGAGATTTTTTCTGTAGGCTTCAATGGATTCTGTACCTAAACCATACCTAAAACATATAACAATTAACTACATTTTATTTATTATTATTGTTCTGGTCATAAGTGACTAAGATATGTTGAATGAAGTTGATTGAGTTTGACGCTTGGTTTTGGTATGTATGCTATTATTTTATTGTCAAATCAATGAAATAATTCTCCATGTATACATAATGATATTACAACATAAACTCACACATAATTTGTTACTGATATACAAATTATGAATGTTTTCAAAACAAATTGTAAATAAATTTGGTCATCAATTATCCAATCTGATTAAAACACAGATCCTATTTCGTTTTGTTTTTTTATAGTTCAAAATTTTGTTTAACTTGTCTTTACTACACTAGGATCTGGGAGAGTTATGAAATTACCGGCGCTTTGGTTGAAGTAAACCACTAGAAATGTCAACGCTGATTGATTAATCAATGTCTGATGTCATAGGGTCAAAAGCTGCTGGTACAACCCCTGATGCGACCTTCCTGTACAACTGGTCAGACCTTCATGTAGTGAAGGCCATCAAAAGTATTAAAAAAAAACTACAAAACAAACGATATATAGATCTGTATTTTAATCAATTTGGTGATAATCGATACTTGAAAGCCGTATAGATTCCCAGTCCTAACTTAGTCATCGTTTTTGATAATATGGTTATAATACACAAGGTACAATTTTATGGATACACAATTACTGAGTTTAATACTAAGCGACGTTTCGAAGAGGATACTCTCGTCTTTATCAAGCAAATGATATCGGTATGTGAATAGTACTACAATATTAGGCAAACATATACAGAATATGCAACAAAAATAACAATCAAATGCAATATAAAGATGAGAGTATCCTCGTCGAAACGTCGCTTAGTATTAAACCCAGTAATTGTGTATCCATAAAATTGTACCTTGTGTTAATATGTTCAATTACTAAATGCCAATCAAAGAAGGTTATAATACACCCTGTAATAAATTAATTTCCCCAAAAGCACCATACATGGTAATATTCTAAAGACCTCCCAAAGTGGTAATATTGCAAAGCACACCTAACATGGTAAATTAATATCCTAAAGAAATCCTAATGTGGTAATATCCCACAGTACACCTAACATGATAATAACCCACCCAGTAATAAATTGATATCTCATAGTACATCTAACTATGGTAATAACCCACCTGGTAATATCCCAAAGACAGGAGTTGATTATAACTACATCAGGCTGTTGTGTATCTTGTTTTAACTCATTAAATATATTCTCCACATATTTATTGTAACATCTTGTAATAAAATGGAATCGTATTAAATGGAAATCTGTTTTATATTCTCGAACTTCTCGATATGAAATACAGTTTGTCAACTTGGATTTTCGACCTCCATCAAGCAACTCATCTCCTTGATAATTCAATTCACCCTGTAATTATAGAACAATCTGTGTAAGACATTAACAAGTAGATACTTACATAAAAAGATAGCTGACAAATTACCATTATCAAGACAAGGTAATGTATATGCCCAGCAGCAGCTTTGGTAACATTGATCAATTGCTCAAGTTTGCAGAAACTTTCATCAAAAATCATATAAGTCAAGGAAAATATCTCTTGTATCTTTTTTATCAGAAACATATCAAAATCCATATTTAAAGAAAATTGCCCAAGAACTCTGTGGACTTGTGTATAAGTCATTGTCAGTAGATGGAGAACAATATGCTAACTTCTTTCATTCCTTGGTTTCAAATCACAATATATATTTTGGTCTTCATTTTATTTGTGAAATTTTACCTGTATAAGTGCAAGTCCGGAAATAAGGAACCTGTCACACACGATGTCAAACACAAAGTCAGGTTGCCAGTCACATATTTGATATTTTTAATACATATCTGATACAAAGTTCAAGTATTAGTTCTAGTGGTACATTTCAATCTGTTATTTCTAGGCCGGATAAGTGGCTAAACGACACACAGTGTTTGAAAAAAACGAAAACAACCAGAATTTGGCAAAGTAATATCTATATCTGAAATGATTTTCCTGAAGCAAATTAAATGAACAAAATCGGTTGCTCTGTGCCTTCTATTATTATAATTAGAATGTTACTACAAGATTGCAGAGAGTTTTAGTTTAATCAAGACTATATAGGGTATTAACTCAAGTGACACAACCTGTGTTTTCAAGATATTAGATTATTTCTACATTTTGTGAGTAAAATATCACCTTTGAATAGCATACATTGTACATACTTAAATATGGTATCATGTAGGCTTTTCATAAATATAGCGTGGGTAGAGGATCGACTATTGTGCACCTATGTTACTTTCCTCAAATGACCTTGTGGAAGGAACTGACAAACAAGCCAACAGAGAGGCTGATGTCATTAATTGCGAATTTATCTTTTTGGAAAGTATCGAGCAATCAAATTGATTATCTATATTTAGTCTAAGCAGAAATTTTTAAGGATCGAACTTAGTCAAGGTTTCTGTGTAGACACTCTCCTAAGTTAGAATCAAAATTATCTTGTCCCAAAGCATTGACTCATGACCTTAAACACCGTGTACAAATTTAAAGTCAATCGGGTATTAACTTTAGTCTCTAGTGCATACAAATGGAATTTCAATGTGGGCGTATAAAAATGAATCTATACCCTGATTTTCATCACACTCACTCAATTAGAACAAAAGATATTGTGTTCCAACGTCTCAACCAATCAATTAAAAAGTCCCCAAATCATTGTCATTAATACCTTAGCTCTCAGTTCCCCATCAGTTATATATTCATCGTTTCTTAATATTTTTACCAAATCTTTATACATACTCCTCTGTACTGAAATATATATTAAAAACACATACAGTATGACTAGTATGTAAAAATAACATTAACCCTATTAAAATTTGACAATATGACATAAAGATCATTCAACTTCAATTTGCAAATTAAGACACCGGCTCTGAATCAATGATGTACACTTGCTGGCCTCCATAAAGGCCTATATATTAAAGTATGAAAGTACTAAGAATGAAGTCCAGCCTATGCCATTTCTTTGTGTATTTTTAATTATGACATATTAAAATAGTTTTAACATTGACAACCTGACATAAAGATCATTTAACTTCAATTAGCAAATTAAGACTCGGGCTACTATTATGTGTTTATTTATAAACAATAAACATTACAGATTTGCGGGTTCTAATTGTGCCTGTGACTTCTCTTATTGAACAAGCCAACAGTGAGGCTGATGTCCCCCGCCGAAATAGGAAAATAATTAGAGGACACATATAAATTTATCACAAATTATCTTTTACAAAGTATTGAACAATCAAACAGTATATCTTTACTTCCAAAGTCTCGACCAATCAAATTGCGTATCGCTCTGCTTACCCTGAGCAGAAAATGCTCATTATCAAACTTAGTCAAGGTATTACTGTAATGAAACTATACACCAAGTTTCATCAATCTCACTTAATTAGAACTAAAGTTATCGTGTCCCAAAGCATCAACCAATCAAATTGCTTATCTCTGCTTACCCTAAGCGGAAAATGCTCATCTTCGAACTCCATCAAGGCATTGACCTAATCAACACATACACCAAGTTTGAACATTCTAGCTCAATTAGGAAGAGAGTTATCGTGCCCCAAAGTATCAACCAATCAAATTGCTTATCTCTGCTTACCCTAAGCGGAAAATGCTCATCTTCGAACTCCATCAAGGCATTGACCTAATAAACACATACACCAAGTTTGAACATTCTAGCTCAATTAAAAGTTATCGTGTCCCAAAGCATCAACCAATCAAATTGCTTATCTCTGCTTACCCTAAGCGGAAAATGCTCATCTTCGAACTCCATCAAGGCATTGACCTAATAAACACATACACCAAGTTTGAACATTCTAGCCCAATTAGGAAGAGAGTTATCGTGTCCCAAAGCATCAACCAATCAAATTGCTTATCTCTGCTTACCCTAAGCGGAAAATGCTCATCTTCGAACTCCATCAAGGCATTGACCTAATAAACACATACACCAAGTTTGAACATTCTAGCTCAATTAGGAAGAGAGTTATTGTGTCCCAAAAAGTGTGACGGACAGACAGACGGACGGACAGACAGACGGACAGACGGACGGACGGACGGACAGACAGACGGACGAACCCATTTTAATAGTCCCCTGCTTTCTTCGAAAGGCGGGGGACAATAAGTTTCTTCAAATAAGCACATATTTTACAGTGCAGTGGGAGTACCTATTATAGCATGTTCCTGAAGCAATGACTGCGAGTTTCACAACATCTGGCCGTTGCTTGTTTACTTCACAATTCTCAAACTTATAGCTATGTTATCTATAGACAAGTGAGCAGTAGCATCCAGTCAGAAGTTGTGACATCGAAACCTCCACGAAAACCTTGACATTGAATGAACCTTGAACTATCATAGGCAGACATTTTAGCTTGAATGTGCGAGACTTGGTATTCGCTATGATTGAGGAATCTGACAGGCTCACAAGCTGGGCTTGTACCCAATCGAAATTAGTGCAGCATATTGCGGGGTATTATGTGAAGGTCTTGATAAGATGTATGTAGTTAAAGCAAGATCAAGGCTTCTATTGAATTTGAAGATGCTACACATGATTTTATTTATAAGTGATGACATCTTAATCTGTGTGAATTAAAGTTAAACTGATTTGTATTTCAGATTTTATTTTTGGAACAATTTCATTATTTATTTATTTCAATGAATAAAATATGAATAAATAACTGGACTTACCTGAAGACCCCAAAACAACAATAAACTTATTATGTAGCAGTTTTTCAACATCTTTCTTCACAAATAATTCACTCATCTTGATACTTATCATAATCTCTGAAACACAGAATATACTTCATTAGAAAGGGAGAAGAAGTCAGTTTAGTTTAGCAAAATATATCAGGTAATTCTGTGCCTGGTATTCTGTTAGAAACAATACTAGTATGGTAGTATGAATGATGAAGAGCTCATAATTTTACCAACACTTAATAGTTGACAATGGCTTCTTTATATTGTCTGCAAAAATATCAATTCAACTTTCATAAAATTTCAGTTTGCAAGTGATTCAAAATTCGTCAAATGACAATCAGGAGCTTTAAGCTGTATATTTATCTATAATAGTACATTGCATTAAAATTATTGATATACAACTTAATGTTATTAAACAAATTAAAGATTGGTTGCCAGGCCACGAAACATATGCCCACAGCAGCTAAATCGTCCAGGCAGTCAACAAGAGTTGTTGCATATTGTTATTTTTGTTGGTAATGAAACATTTATAAAACACTAAAATCTGATTAAGAGTAACAACTCATTAAAGATACATTCCCGCGTACAAACTGGGTGATTTAATATATGGACTAAAAACATATTCAAACTAATTAATTTGTCATAATTTTGCTTCAAAACCTTCTCAAACATTGTAATTGCCAAGGAATGCCCTGCTATAAAAATTTGATCAAACCAGGTCATGTTTAGGTCACGTGACTTATCTCTCTCGGAAGTCAGAGGAGAATCCATCACATACATTAGACGATGTCGTCTTTAATCGTTTACTATTTATTACAAATATCGAATCCTAATTAAATTCTCGGATTATCCACTACCCGCGTCTTTTCCCCATCATGTTAATCTCAGACAGTGTTGTACGTCTAACTCTTCATAAAGTTTATCAACTTGTACAACAGGCACTCAATGTTCGCGTGTGACCTTTGACATCACGTGTGCAGAAATTCCTAACCGTCGGGCTGTCGATTAGGGGAACCTTTACATTTTTGTCCTATATACGCTCCATGAGTGATTTTCGGGGAATCCAGTATTTTTCTAGTAAGATTGGATATCTCTACTTTCCATATACCAAAATTGCCATACTTTTATTGGAAATAACCACCCGATAAATACTTTTCTGGGAACCCATCTTTAAGTAATTATCCGAAAATCATTAGAATTGGTTTAGCCCATGCTAACGTTTAGTATACAAAACATTTAATATCACAGATTTAGCTGTTCAAGTTTTCAAACATCACTGAAAATCAATATACTTGTTCATCTCAAGACCTTAAACTCTGTGTATCAATCTAAAGTCAATCAAAATGATTATATATAGGCGTAATCAGATGATAACTATGGTCTCGAAAGTATCCTCAAGATTACAGTCTGATTATCCGATATGCACGCATATCGAAGCAACCAAGATCTTTTGGATATAAACATGTATTTAAATTTCATCAAGAATAAAAATTGTGACCTCAAGAGGTTCCACAAGCTAAAAAACGTGATTTTTCGTACAATCAGGGAATTTACAGCCCGATATGCTGGAATATCGAAAGGAACAAAGATCTTTGCGTTATAAACATACATTTCATGTTTCATCAAAATCGGATATAAATTGTGACTTCTACTTCTAGAGGGTCCAAAACCTTGGTATACATACCTTTACACTATTTGCGTACAAGGAGTGGTCATTTTGTCCATCAGTAAGTTTCGGTCGGATTGTCATGAAATTCGAACTCCATCATCATTATGGTGTAACGGTGATATATTTGAACCATTTTTTTAAATCGGATAAAAATTGCGTCCTCTAAAGCGACCACAAGCTAAAAACATGATTTTTCGTACAATCATGGGCCATAATCCAGGAAGTTACGATCCGATATCGAAAGGAACCTTGATCTTTGGATTATAAATGAAATGTTGTTTAATGGCACGTCAGCTCCATTTAGGCTATATTGCGCCAAATCTTTGGCTTATAAACATACATTTCAAGTTTCATCAAAATCGGATGAAAATTGTGACCTGTAGAGTGTCTACAAGCTAAAAACGGAATTTTTCGTACAATCAGATACCATAAGGCATAATCCATAAAGTTACGGTCCGATACATGCCAATTTCAAAAGGCATCAAGATCCGTCAAAATCAGATAAAAATTATGACCTGTAGATTGTCCCCAAATCATTCGGACAGGGGTGACGACAATATACGTCCACATGAAAATTTGGGCGTATAAAAATGCCCAATAAACAAGCTTCAACTGAAAAAATTGGGTTAAATTAAATAAATCTAGGAAAACTTACAAGATGCATGTACAAACTACCACACAGTTTTGTAAACTCAAGCAGAAACAGAATTTGAGACAATGTTTATCATGTAATCAAAATCTATCTATACCACCATTCTTCTAGCTGGAGTTTTCATACTTTATATACATTGACTATTATGACTTTAATCACTTTATCTGGAACTGAGATAAAGCTGTCTACTCTATAACTATCCAGTTTAATTAATATAATGTAAAATGCACTTGCTTTAATCTACAATCACACTGAAGATAAATACATACTGGTACATATAGGTTGTGTAAACATGAAGTGGCGGCTTATAAATTACTACAAGCTTTTCCTGTAAGTTGACAATGTCACTCATACTGATATGGGTACACTCAATTTTGGCACATAAAACCATTTGTTCCCACCATAGTTTCAAAATATTTTAGGAAGTTAAACACAATTGTCTTGCAATGAAAATATAGAAGGTAGTAGCTTTCATTTGTTTAGCCTATATCAAGAAAGTATACATTTAATGCTTAAAGAAGTCTTTTTTGAAGTATTATTTTCAGTTAATTCATCACACAGGATTTGTAAATATGTGACATAAATACCCTTTTAAAGCAAGAATTGCATCTTTTCTAAAAAAGTCATAACAAAAATCATTTGTAAATCAATTACTTTTAAAATAGGTTGTTAAACCACTACTATAAAATCATAGGAATCCTAGCACTTAATAAACATTCACATAAAGATAGGTTGCCAGGCAATGAAACATACGCCCACGGCAACTAAATCGTCCGGGCAGTCAACAAGGGTTGTCACATATTTTTACTTTTTTCATGAATTAAACATTTATAATACATGTACACTAAAATCTGATTAAGAGCAACAACTCACGAAGTAATTATCAGAAAACTATTAGAATTTGTTTGGTTTTTATAAAGTTCTGCCCCATGCTAACGTTTTGTATGCAAAGCTTTTAATATCATGGATTTAACTGTTCAAGTCATAAAAATTCATTGAAAATCAATATACTTGTTCGTCTCAAGATCTTAAACTCTGTGTATCAATCTGAAGTCAATCGGATGATAACTTTAGCTTTTAGAGCGTCACAAGATTTTGCAAAGTGATCAAGGGCCATAACTTTGGCAGTAATTATCGGAAATCGTTGAAAATCAATAGGAATCTTCGTCTCATGACCTCAAACACTGTGTATAAATTTAAACTGCCAGAGTTATGGCCCTTGATCACTTCAAAAAATCTTGTGTATGCTCTAGAGGCTAAAGTTAATATCCGATTGAGTTTAAATTTATACACAGTGTTTGAGGTCATGAGACGAAGATTCCTATTGATTTTCAACGATTTTCGATAATTACCACCAAAGTTAAGGCCCTTGATCACTTTGCAAAATCTTGTGACGCTCTAAAGGCTAAAGTTATCTTCAGATTGATACACAGGGTTTAAGATCTTGAGACGAACAAGTATATTGATTTTCAATGAATTTTTATGACTTGAACAGTTAAATCCATGATATTAAAAGCTTTGCATACAAAACGTTAGCATGGGGCAGAACTTTATAAAAACCAAACAAATTCTAATAGTTTTCTGATAATTACTTCGTGAGTTGTTGCTCTTAATCAGATTTTAGTGTATTATAAATGTTTCATTACCGAAAAAAGTAAAAATATGCGACAACCCTTGTTGACTGCCCGGACGATTTAGATGCTGTGGGCGTATGTTTCGTTGCCTGGCAATCTATCTTTTATACTTTTGATGGCCTACACTACATGAAGATCTGACCACATGGTTTTTTTTGCGTCACACAAGCAGTTTTTGACCCAATGATGTCTGATATTTGATTAAACAATCAGCATTGATGTTTCTATTGGATTACCCACAGTTCCGTGCAGGTCACACCAAAAGCTCGCCGTAACAGACCGTTTCATTGGCTAATCCCTCACATCATCCAGAACATATTAATGATAACCAACTCTTCCAGATCCTAGTGTAGTAAAGACAAGTAAAACGATATTTTGAACTATAAAAAACGAAACGAAATAGGATCTGTGTTTTAATCAGATTGTTTTGACAACTAAATAATTCAAACATTCCAAATTTTCAAACATTAACACATATGAGAAGTGACTTGATTAAAATAGGTACGTGTCATTGGTCTGATCAGGTTGGGGTGGGGATGTTTTTACTGCATTATTAAAAGTATTTATGGAGCTGCCGTAGTGTGTTTGTGAGCAATAACCGACTCACTGATCAGGATGTCTCAGGTTCTCTCACTGGTGTTGGCCTGCGAACATTCCTGGGATTTTCTGATGTGGTTTGCCCTTGCCAGTGATGCAGGACAGAGTGACTGACAAGGGTCAAGGACAGTGTCTAGTTATTTGGTTTGTACAAAAAACTGAGGTCTGTGTATGTACACATTTGCGTAGACGTAAATGAATCCTTGGCAGTTGAAAATCAAAATAAAGAGTATTTTGCAAAAATTCACAGGCACTCTTTATGGTGTATGCCTGTCTTCGTTAGCCCAGTCAGGGCAGAAAAGTAGGCTGTTAAACCTTATTTCATTTCTATCATGAATATGAGTACCATATTAATACTGTTGTGATTTTGCCCTGTTGTTCCAGTAAGCCGCCTGGATAATGAAGAATACCCGCGGCTATAAAATACGGGTAAGCCGACCAGTGACGCACCTAGACTTTTGGATGCTGACTAATAACAAGGTAACTTGGATTAATTGCTTATCGCGGACGTGCCTTACTTGCCAAGTGAGACTTAATTGGTTAAACACATTCGACACAACAATACATTATGTAGCCTACCGGTATGAATTTCAGATTACCGGTAACTTTAAATTAGTTTATTACTTTTTATTAGACATTTGTATGTATGCTTGTCTCTTTGGTTAATTTAAAGTAGCTAAGTCTCTAACGCAATATCATCTAAAGTCATACACCTTGAAAATACGAATTATTTGTCAATTCAAATCAACATTGATGTTGTGATCTTACCAGGAAAAGACAGGCTTCTGATATCCAATATTTAAGACAAAATAAACATTTTACCATTGGTACACGAATCGTGTACCATAGTGCGTTTTAGCGTCATTTGCAAAAAGTAACCAGAAAGAATGAGGCTAGACATATTCAACTGGAGAACCTGCTCAATAGACTGGAATAACCAGACGCTAGAAATTGCTATAGGGTTGAGACACAGGCCGTATTTCGCTGGACATAACTGATTTGAAATTAAAGTAGCTAAGTCTCTAACTCAATAACATCCAAAGTCTTACTAGTTGAAAATATGAATTATTTGTTAATTCAAATCAACATTGATGTTGTGATCTTACCAGGAAAAGACAGACTTCTGATATCCAATATTTAAGACAAAATAAACCTTTTACCATTGGTACACGAATCGTGTACCATAGTGCATTTTAGCGTCATTTGCAACAAGTGACCAGAAAGAACGAGGCTAGACATATTCAACTGGAGAGCCTGCTCAATAGACCGGAATAACCAGATGCTAGAAATTGCTATAGGGTTGAGACACATGCCGTATTATCATATGTGTTGCGACCCATTTGTGTCAATTTCTAGATCCCAAATATTAGCAATTTTGGTCCTTTAAAGCATGAAAAATTGAACAGGCAATAGGCCTCCTATCACGAGTCCTAATTTAAAGGAGCTAAATCGCTAATATTTGGGATCTAGAAATTGACACAAATGGGTCGCAACACATATGATAATGTAATATGAATGTATATAAACTGATTTACATTCAATCATTTCTGTTTTGCTGTAATTTCTAATCGGTTATGTTCGGCGAAATAAGCCAGAAGTCTCAATTGAATGACAATCTTTAGCGTCTGGTTATTCCAGTCTAAACCGATGGTATTTATTGCGCTTGCTCTCCAGATAAGTATATAGCGTCACCATTTGACATGACTTGTGGAATATGTCTAGCCTCGTTCTTTGAGTCCCTTGTTCCAAATAGCGCTGAAACGCACTGTGGTACACGATTCGTGTACCAATGGTAAAATAAATGTTTATTTTGTCTTGAATATCGGATATCAGAAGCCCATCTTTTCCCCGTAAGATCACAAGACCAATGTTGATTTGAATTGACAAATAATTCGTGTTTCCAATGTCGAAGATTTTTGAAGATATTGAGTTAGAGACTTAGCTACTTTAAGACTAATAGTCAAGACGGAAACAATTGAATGTAAATCAGTTATACAATCAGATTTCATTATTATATACTATTCAAAAAAAGTAGGGGATATTTGATTTTGGGGGCATAATACTAAAATATGCAAATGACTACGAAAAAAGTCACTATAGAACCTAACAGAAGAAACATTTCCAGTTACATGTGACGCCCAAACGCACCAATAGCTACCGCATGGAATGCAGGTGATGCTTGGGATCATCATGGGGGTCCAACCCAAGATTTGCACGACTCTGACTTTGAATGTTACAGTCATTGTGGCATTGAATTCCAGGGTGGAAACATCAGTTTAATTGTTTTAGTGACCAGAAAACAAATTTTGATATGCGTCGGCTTACCCAAAATGAAAGGTTACGTGCCCTTGGCATGCTACAGATCGGCACAACACAGGCGGTTGTGGCGCGGACGATGAATGTTTCTCAGTCTGTCATAAGCAGGCTATGGTCCAGATATCGTGATACACAATCTGTACAGGACAGACCACGCTCAGGACGACAACTCAAGCTCAGGATCGATTTATCCGTACCTTGCCCTTGAGAAATCGTGTCATCACAGCAAATCAGATCAGCGCTCGTCTTCAAACAGACACTGGTGTGAGAGTGAGTGGCCAGACGATTCGGAATCGACTGCATAGGGGTCACCTTCGCGCCCGACGTCCTCGCGTGATCCCTTGTTTGAGAGATCATCACATTCAGGCAAGACGTCGTTGGTGTAGGGATCGTCAACACTGGGATAATCGACGCTGGAGCAATGTGATGTTTTCAGATGAGTCAAGGTTCACTGTTGATTTTTTGGACAGACGTAGGAGGGTGTGGCGTCGTCGAAACGAGCGCTTCCAAGACGTTAACGTCATCAGACATGATCGATTTGGGGGTGGTTCTGTTATGGTGTGGGGAGGCATCACTTGCTGGAAGAACAGCTTTACATGTTGTTGCAGGGCGTGTTACAGGCCAGTACTACCGGGACAACATCTTGGCAGTCCATGTTGTGCCGTTCGCACGACGTCATGGCCGCCGTTTCATCTTCCAGGATGACAACGCAAGATGTCACAGGGCCAGGATCGTTACAGGTTACCTCCAACAACAGAACATCACCACATTACCTTGGCCAGCACTGAGTCCCGACCTCTCCCCCATCGAGCATGTCTGGGACATGCTTGGACAGAGGTTACGTCAACGTCAACAACGTCCTGCCAATGTCCAAGAACTTGCTGCTGCGTTGCAACAGGAATGGGACAATCTGGACCAAAATGACCTTAGACGTCTCATTAGGAGTATGCCACGTCGGATCAATGCTTGTTTGGCAAACAGAGGAGGATTTACCCGTTACTGACTTGGTTGTGATGCTGTGGTAACTTTGCTGTTTGACCCCGGGTATCATTTTACCCTTATAATGGTCAGTCTGTGCCTTACTTAGTCTAACGATCATTTGGAATAAATCGATGAATGTGAACTTCATTTCATTTTGTCATTTGTTTCTTCGTCAGTTTCATTAGGTGACTTTAATAACACTTAAAAATCAAATATCCCCTACTTTTTTTGAATAGTATATGCTGCGACAATTTCTAGGTCCCAAATATTAGCAATTTAGGTCCTTTAAAGCATGAAAAATTGAACAGGCAATAGGCCTCCTATCACGAGTCCTGATGACAAAGTTTCACTTTTATTTTACACTTACTACTTATTACATATTACATTACAATAGCAGGTCCAATAAATCGCATATATAATAATTGTCGCTAAATCGTGTTAGTCCTCTAAATTACAATTTAGTCATGAAACCAGCATACAGTGATTGATACAGCTGCCATACACTTACCAAGAAATTAGAAACATTTGAACTTTAAACAACCCAATATGATGATGACGAAAATATAAATATAAAAACCCAAATCAAGATTCCCGCTGAATCTTATCCACTAGGCTTGTCTTCCGGTTGAGCGGTAGATTCCAATTTTAGCAAAAGGTGTTTTTTGGAAACGAGAAAAATTAAATTGTTGCCGGTATCTTGTTTGCGTTTCTAATATTAACATCATTACTTCATTTATTTAATAATTTAATAGAAACCATCCTTTGTGTAAATATATTGCTAAAGTTCGATGTGTATTTTAAAATGTTTACTTTTTAAATCATCTCGTGTATTTAAGAAAATGGATTGATCCATGAAGAAATTTTCAGTAAGAGTTATATATAGTTTCTATATATCTCTATGACAGTAATCAATTTCTGTGGTTTTTAATTACTACACTACTTTTAAAAAAATGCAAATTATAAATTAATCATTTGATAGCTTGCATATTTTGAAAATGCATGGAAGGTCAAAAGGCAGGAGAAATATTTTTAAATCTTTTTTAATGTGTCGCTTGTTAAAAATTAGGGTGACACAACGACAACATTATTTTTATCCCCCATTGCCAAAAAACTCGTGAACGGGATAGGGGCTATAATGTTATACAATCACATTGAAATGTGGTCGTATTATTTTGCCGCCGTCTTCATTAGCTCAGTTCGGAGCAGGACAGAAGGACGTTAAACCCCTTCTCATTTCATTTCATTTCATTTATTGCCGTCGGTCTATATAGCGTCCACAATTGCTTGTGGACATGCTAGAGGCTACACTTAATATCCGATTGAAAAAGACAATAAGAATCCTATTAATTTTCAACAATTTCCGATAAGTGCCAGAGTTATCCCTTGATCACTTTGGAAAATTGTCTGGACACTAGAGGCTCAAGTTAATATTAGATTGACTTTAAATTTATACACACAGTGTTTAAGGTTATCAGACGAAGAAGCCTATTGATTTTCAACCATTTCCAACAATTACTGCTAGAGACTAATATTAATGTAAATTTATACACAGTTTAAGGTCATGAGACTGACAATCAAAACAAATTCTAAGGATTTCTGATAATTACTTAATGGGAAGTTATTCGTCCTCAGATATTAGTGTGTTGTAAATGTTTTCATTACTGACAAAAGAAAAAATATGCAACAAACCTTGTTGACTGCCAAGACGATTTACCTGCTGTGGGCGTATGTTTCATTGACTGGCAACCTATCTTTACATGAGAGGACAAACCATATCGATAGCCTACTCAGCGTTCCACAAATTTTTTGGTTCAGGAGCTAACAGATCTTTTTAAACTTCAGTGTGATGCATTGCTGGCTGTCATGAGAGGATTCAGCATTGCATGACCATATCCCTTTTTTGAGTTTTCCCCCATTTGTCAAAAACCTTGTGACCTTGATAGATGCTACAGTTTGTAACTCTTTTGTATCAAATTTGGTGTGAAGCATTGTGTTCATCAGAGGACGAATCCTATCGATATTCAGCATTGCTAAACACCTACGATAGAGGCTACAGTTTTTAACCCTATCAATATTTAGCATAGATGCAACACTTTTTAATACGGTAGATTTTTTTCAAGCTTGTGTAAAATAGATCACATTTCTTGAAAGCATCCCTTATCAAATTTGGTCAACATTCAAGTTTTCCTTTCGGATAAGCTGCTGTCAAGATATAGCGACTCTGTGGGCATATTTCCAGGTTTTGGATGGCTATCTTCAGAAATTAAAAAAAAAGGTAATCAGGCTGTTGAGACAATAATTTGCTTGTGCATAGCGGTCTTTAGCAGTGGGAGCAAACTGGAGGACCAGGGGAAAAACCACGAGGTTGGATAGGCAAACCCTACTCCTTGTCACGTACAACCGGGGAATGTGACGTGAAAAAGTCATGCAAAGTTCTCTTATTCATCTCAGACTATTTCCTGATTTTTGGCTTGACACCAAACTTAGATCATAAAGTGCAATTAAAATTAGGTACCTATCTCTTACCAATTTCAGAGTTTTGTTAAGTGTCCAAATCAGTCCAAATCCAATTAATATATAATCCACTATAATCCACACAGTGCCCACATCACTGTAATGAGTTTTCTAGAACATAGGTTGATAAAAAATAAGGCATCTAATTACTAATAGACAACCAGGCAAAAAATATTTAAAGTCAATCTGATAGTAAAATGTGGATGACTGACAGGTATAAAAACAACACTCACATGTCAATGTGAATGTATAAAAATACAGATTTGATTTGGTTTTTCAAAAATCTGTATTTGTCAGGGTTTTTTTTTGTTTTATTTTACCAGATTTTTGTATGTAGATGAGTAAGTAACAAATATTAAAAAAAAAATATATATAAATCTTTTAAAACCAAGATATATCAATAAATAAAGTCAGTCTTTCCGCCTCTCATACAAGTACTTTAAGTCATACTCTGAATCGGCCCATAATCTGGTAATATGAGAAATATTTACGTGTTTCTGTCCTTCAGTCGAAACACGTATTATTTTTGTAAGTGTTTTTATTATTTTTTTGGTGGGGGGGGGGTGGATTTAGTCAGAGTTTGCAGCCAAAACTGTGCATGGTGCAAACATTCTGCCAACGTTAAAATGGTTGCCCACTGTGGCTCTATTTATTGAATATAAATTAGGTTATTTTTGACAAACAGGAAGTGTTTTACAGATGGGACAAGAAATAATCTCAGATTGCCCATATCTCGGTTATTTCTCAACAGATCTTCTTCGGGTTTTCATTTTTGGATTCTTTGGATGAATCCCATATGGGCCCTGACTGCCGGTTTTTCTAAATTCAGAAGTTTAGTTTTAGCATCAAAGTTTTCTTCATCATTTTTTCGACATTCAAGATGGTGTAACTCCATCACTATTTCAGTTATCAAGTTGAAACTTGGTAGGATTAGGAACTCGTAGATGCCTTCAAAATGGCATATATACAAATTTTGTGACGGCTTCCAGAAACTTCATTTTTCCCAAACATAATAGTTCTCTTCATTTTAAAAACAGACCGAAAATGACATATTTTTTAGCCCCAGATATTATCTTTCATTTTTAGAGACCTTGTTCCATAACATTTTCAACGGTTTGGCGGCCACATTGGATTTTACTAAAAACCCTCAAATCGATATTTAGCCCACAGTTTCATTCCAATTTTTGAAAACTTTTTTTTGTTTTGAACATACTCTAAATGGCAACAATTCTTACAGGGCCGATTTTTTAATTTCGAGTTTCTTTTATTTCCGGTTTTCATTTTGAATTTTGTTCGACTTTTCAACACCTATCTGATAACCGAACCTTTTAATGACCCTTGACCTTTGTATATATGATGACCCTCATGTCTACTAAAACTAATTTCAAAAAGTTCAGTCTTGAAGTATAACTTCCAGTTTTATTAAGAGTTCAAAATGACAGGTATTGGATCTTACTATACTCAAGAATGCATGGTATCTTGATTGTTGACGTGACAAGCCATGACAAGGCGTGACCTGACCTACCGAAACACATCAGTAGGCTTACTCCTTTAGAGTCCTAGTTATATTTATTTCCGGAAGACATAAATTGATTAATCTGATTATGTTCAATCCACCCATCCTATCTACATTGTAACTGGACTTCCTTTTATTCAAATTTATTAATATATTTCAAAATATGCCATATCATATTAAAGATGCATTATGTAAGATAAAGAGCTGGTCATTCTTGCCATAATAGTTAAAAAATAGATAATGCAAAATAAATGTAGATTGAAAATTTAATTTAAATTATTTAATTATAACTGTGTGAAGTTTTGACTAAGAGAGAGAGAGAGAGAGAGAGAGAGAGAAATGGAGTTTAACGTCCATTTGACACAAACTAGGTCATTTCGAGACTAACATATGGTTTAATTTTATTTCAATAATTCGCTTGCGCGTAGGGGTCTTTAGCAGTGGGAGGAAACCGGAGCACCCGGAAAAACCCCACGAGGTTGGACCGGCGACCCTATTCCTTGTCATGTACAACCGGGGATTCAAAACCACGCCAGTTGACTCAGTTATGATACATCGCGCACATGCTAACCATTCGGCCACCCAACCCCCCGTTTTGACAAGATGTGGCATAGATTGTTTATTATCCTAACAACAGTACTTGTTACATCAGACTTAGCCTAAATTTAACATTTTAAATCAAATCATTAAATAGTGACCATCTTTTAATCTGTTTAAATCTCTGCCATCTGATGGTCTAGACAGTGGATTATAGACTTGTCATGGGAATAAATGTCTAAATAATAATTATTTATATAACATTTAAAGCCAAAAAAACGATCTGCAATAGCTCTTACATAATGCATCTTTAAACTAAAATCTTTGACCATTGAAAATTTTACCATTTATTTTACATCAAATTAAACTGAAAGCGGGCCTTTAAGTTGTTATTTTATTTCTGTCTGTCTAATGAAAATAATGTATGATACTATGAAATGGCAGTCATATTATTCCTTGTCAGAAAAATATTATCATTAATTATCTGGAGAAATCTGTTATTGACAGACTAAGTTAGATAAAGGAAACCCTTGAAATTGTGTGATTTATTTCTCAGCTGATGGGATAATTAATTCTTTTATCCAGACTCCAGTAATATTTTGCAAAATGTTTTTTTTTTTTTAAAGTTATTGAGCCTGTCTCTAAAAGCTTACAAATGCGCTAAAGGTCAGAATTATTTAGATTTTTCTTAAAGATTTAGATAAAGAGCTAGCCATTTTTGCTATAATATAATGTAAAATGAATAATCTGAAAATTTCATTCAAATTACTCTATTGCGAGCGAAGATATTAGCCTTTAAAGGTTTGACAAGACGTTTGCAATAAATTTTACCACTGTACTGGATGTTCGAAGCTAAGTCTTGCTCCTCCATTTTTATCTTAAATGAAAACATGGCTGAACTGTTCTAATCTATCTAATATCAGAGAAATCCGATGCCTTCTTGAGTTGATTATGGCCAGGATAAGTTGATTAATGTCTAATTAATAATTTAGAAAACATAACATAAAAAGGAATATAATTGAATTTC